CCCACATCAGGTGTACCCTTAAGGTACCGGAAGATCCTCTTCACAGCCTGTCAATGCTCCTTCCCAGGTTGTATCATGAACCTACTGACAACACTAACAACATGTGCAAGATCAGGTCTAGTGCTTACCATAGCGTACATCAAGCTACCTACTGCACTAGCATATGGGACTCTCGACATGTACTCCTTATCATCCTCTCACTGCGGTGCATAAGCTAAGGATAGATGAACATTTGAAGCACTAGGAGTATTTAAGGGCTTTGCTGAAGACATGTCAAACCTCGCAGCTATGAGCATATCATCCACATACAGAACAAGGTAGATCATCAAACCATCCTCCACCTTGTTGTGATACACACAACAATCATATGAACTTCTGTTGTAGCCCAGATCAAACATGTAACTGTCAAATCTCTTGTACCACTGCCTAGGAGATTGCTTAAGTCCATACAAGGACTTCTTCGACTTAGAAACATAGTTTTCTTTTCCTGGAACCTGGAATCCTTCTGGCTGAGTCATGTAGAATTCTTCCTCCAACTCTCCATGTAGGAAAGCTGTCTTCACGTCTAGCTGCTCGAGCTCCAAGTCATAATGCGCCACTATTGCTAGTAGCACCCTAATTGAAGTATGTCTGACCACTGGTGAGAAAATCTCATTGTAGTAAACTCCTTCCCTCTGCGAGAAGTCTCGTGCAACCACCTGAGCTTTAAATTTCATGCCCTCTTCAGAAGTGATTCCTTCCTTCTTCTTGTAGATCCACTTGTTTGTAACAATCTTCCTTCCCTGTGGTCGTTTGACTAGCTCCCAAGTCTGATTCCTGTCATGGGATTCCATCTCATCTCCCATTGCGGCAAGCCACTAGTCAGCTTCACCACCCGAAACTGCTTCTCTATAGGATTGTGGCTCTCCTGTATCCACTTCTTCAGCAACCTGAAATGAGTACGCCACCACATCCTCAAAGCCATACCTCTGTGGAGGTACTCCTGCAGTCGCTCTCTTCGGTCTACCGGAAGCCATAGACTATTGAGCTCGTGCACTGGACTCTGAAGTTTCTGGCTCTACAGAGACATCTTCATCATGTTGATCTTCTCCACCTTGGTGCTCAAACTCTTTCTCTTTGAGAGTTTGCAGCTCCACCTGTTTATCAACATTCATGCTACCTTCAACAACAGTAACCTTCAACATGGGGTTAAACATAGACTTCTCATCAAATATCACATTTCTAATGAGTATAACTCGATGCTCAGAAGGTGACCAGACTCGAAATCCCTTAACTCCATCTTCGTAACCCACAAATACACCCTTCTTTGCACTTGGGTTCAATTTACCCTCATCCACATGATAATAAATAGGACACCCAAAAACTTTTAGTGAAGAGTAATCAGCAGGCTTACCATACCACACTTCATAAGGAGTCTTAAACTCGATGCCTGTGTGAGGTCCACCGTTGATCACGAAGCACGTCATGTTCACTGCTTCTGCCGAGAATCTTCTCTCTAGTCCAGCATTAGAGAGCATGCACAACTCTTGCAGACATACACAACTCCACCTTCTCCTTTGAAACTGAAGCCTTTGTTGTTGAGTAGACTCAAGGAGATCAGGTTATTTGTCATTCGTGGAACATGTCTGACATCATTCACGGTATTGAACGAACCATCATGTGCCCGAACCTTTATGGACCCGATTCCAACAACCTTGCAGACAGCTCCATTTGCCATGACCACGTTACCACCATCTATTTGCTCGTAGGTTGTGAAACAATCCCTGTTCAGAGACATATGGTACGAGGCTGCAGTATCCAGAAACCACACATCACCACGATGTGCCTTCTCATCTACAGCCAAGGCGAGATCGTCTTCAGAACTGTTGTCCACTTCTGCCACGACAACTGAACCTTGTTTCTTCTGTTGCCCTCTTCTCCTGGGACAGTTGTACTTCCAATGGTCCAATTCCTTACAGTTGTGACAAGCATCACCTGGCTGTGGACTGGGACCCTTGGAATTCTTGTTCGATTTCCCTTTAACATATTTCTTCTTTCTCTTTCCACCTGTAACAGCCAAACCCGATGCCTCACCACTTGTACCGGATCCGGACGCCTTATGTCTGATCTCTCTTGTATGATGAGCAGACCTGACATCCTCCAACGACACGCTTTCTTTACCGGCAATAAAAGAATCAACGAAAATCTCATATGAACTCAGCAAAGAAACTAGCAGGATTAGGGCCGCATCCTCGTCATCAACTTGAGCATCTATATTACTAGGGTTGTTCAAACGGATTGGTTACCGTGGTAACCATATTAATCGATAGCATTCGGTTAATTTGGGTTGGTTAATTTGGAAAATTGGTTTGGTTTGGTTATACAATTTAGTTTATTTGGTTTAGGTGGTTTGGTTTGGTTTCAATATTGCTAACCAATGAAACCAATTAACCAATTAATGTTACACCTAATATACAAAATTATTTATACTTCCATGCAACCAACCAAACCAAACTTCCGTGATTCCCTATTTTATTTCCATGTGCACAACAAACCAAAACATTATGGGTAGAAAATTAAATGGGCCTGTCTATTTACTAAACCAAAACATTTTGGACAACTACTAGACTTTAGGATTATGTACAATACCATGACAGCCACCACAAACTATGTATAGTTTAAGTGTTTTGTAGGAGAGCTTTAACTTCCTGATTAGTGGTATTGGTATGTATTTAATATTTATGGTAACGGTTTGTTGTAAGCTAACTATATTAGATGCAGAGATGATGAATGATGTATTAACTCGAATGATGATGATAATTATGGATGGTTAGTCTTATTATTATTGCTTATATATAATGATAGTTCATGATAGTAATAACATATGGTTATGTTTTATTCATTAACAGAATAATTGTTTTCATGTAATGTTATGTTATTTGGTTAATCCGATTAACCAAACCAATTAAACTTTGGTTTGGTTAATTTGGTTTTCGTGTTAATTTGGACGGTTTGGTTAAAATATTTTATTTCATGGTTAATGAAATTTAGGCTCAATTGGTTTGGTTATTATCACGGTAACCAATTGAACACTCCTATATATTACGCAAATCCATCAAAAATAGAGTTAAGCTGTTCGAGATGTTCCCTCAAAGGCATACCTTCTTGCATCCTCAAATTGAACAACCGTCGCTTGAGATGCAGCTTGTTGGTTAGAAACTTAGTCATGTACAGACTCTCTAGTTTCAATCACAAGCCCGCGACAGTCTTCTCAGCAGCGACTTCAATGATGATGTCATCAGACAACGATAGCATGATGGTCGAGTGGGCCTTCTCCTCCAGGGTACTCCGCTCATCGTCATCGACCGCTGCCTTCTTCTGTTTCGCAGACAGCGGCCCCCAGAACCCTTATTGTTTCAATAAAGCCTGCATCTTGATCTGCCATATAGCGAAGCTGTTCTTCCCCGTGAACTTTTCGATCTTCATGTTCACCGACGTCATTCTTCTAAATCGAAAACCCTGGTATGATTTTGATAGACCGTCATTTACACATGTTTTTACCCCCGTTCTTACACCGTTTGAGGTGTTGATTCTCGTGTTTTAGACCAATTTCACGCTAGGTTGTGCTTGTTTGTGATATTTCAGGTCCTAGTACGTGAATGAAGGCTTAGGAGCGAGTCTGGGGTCGATTGGACGAAGAACGGACGAATGGCGAGGTTTTTGGGGAGCTGCACGGGCAGACCAGGGAGGCTGCACGGCCGTGCACGGTTGCAAGCTGGCTGTGCGCCTCATGCCGAGGAGATGCACGGGCAGGCCCTGAAGATTGCACGGCCGTGCACCTGGCCGTGCAAGAAGCCTGAGTTCGACTTAAGGGATACGCTGCGTTTCATGGTGCACGGCCAGAATGGTGAGGTGCACGGCCGTGCACCCTGGCCGTGCAACTCGGGAAACCCGGTTTTAAAGCCTAATCCGAGCCAGAAGTGAAAAAACAGGGTTTTCAGAGCAAAAACAGAGCCCTAGAGAGAGAAAGTACGAAGAACACATCCTAGAAGCTGTCTTAGAGCTGGATTTCATCAAATCGAGCCTGGAGATCGTCATAGGAGTGAAAATCATCGTCCCGGAGCAGATTATCCTCATCGTTATGAGTATGACTAATCCGATTCTTGTTTTCTCTTCTCTCTCTATGGAGTAGAACCCTTCTCTCACTTGGGGATGAAGAACCCTAGTTCTATGTGTTAGGGGATTGATTGTAATGACTTGGGATGATATTACTGTTTGATTATAATCGAATGATGCATGTTTATTGAGTCAATTGAAGTCTGATCAACTTTTCCTGATTCCTGCTGCAATCTGAGATAGATAGAATCTGATTAGGTTGCTAGAGTCTCATCATTCGATAGTAGGAGACTGGTTATACGAGAGTTAGCCAGTTTACTGCTCTGTACTGGAATCTAATTCCAGTAGTGAATTTCTGTTCTTACTGCTTCAGCTTTCTATCCCGGTGAAGACTAGTCGTCTGCCGGGTAGTTAGACTGAGAGGGCTTGGTCAGCTTAAGAGATTCCAAGCTACTGCCGGATCTTCCGCAGTCTAATCAACAGTAAATCAACCCAGGGTAAATTGCAATTGAACCTAACTAAGGAGCTAGGGGGATTCGTTCCCGAGTGACTCTTTCCTGCTTAAGAAAACCGAATAATTTCCTGCTTTATTTCTGCTTTTAGTTTAAACAACAATCACTTACTCTAGTTGGCTAGATAACAGAGAATCACTGAGTAAGCAGTAGATCTAGACCCCGGGTTGATAATATAACTTGCCTGTTACTGCATTCCCGGTCTGCGATTACACTTGGTCGCAGATTGGTGTTGTGTTTTGGCGTGTCAAGTTTTTGGCGCCGTTGCCGGGGAACCTCTAGGTTATTGGGGAAACGTGAGAATTTGTTACTCTAGCTTTTATTTTCTGCTTTTTATTTCTTCCACCTGTGTGCCTTCACGGGTTGTTTCTGCTGATTGTGTGCAGGTAGTGCATGACCCGTAGCCAGTCGGGAGATCTACTACCACTAGACCAGGAGCTTGAACGAACCTGCAGAAACTTCAAGCGGGCTCTAAAGGCGCGACTGGCTGCGGAGGAGGCGCTATCACAGCTGCAGTTAGAGGAGGAAGAAGAAGAGATGGCTGAACCAGGGAACCATGCTGTGATCCCCGAGGAGCAGACCATGGGCTCCTACTGGACCGCTAGGGCTGCGGACATGAGGTCACCCATTCAGCACCCTCAGGTCCCAGCCAACAACTTTGAGGTGAGCACCTCCGTGATCACCATGCTGCGCGGTTCAGTAGTGTTCCGTGGTAAGGAGGGAGAGTGCCCTCGATCACATCTCAGGCGATTCCACGAGCTCATCGATGGAATCAAGATCAATGGGGTACCAGCAGATGCCATCCAGCTGAGGTACTTCCCATTCACTCTGGAGGGGCAGGCCAAGGAGTGGCTAGACACTCGATCTCCGGGCTCCATCACCACGTTCGCCAACCTGGCGGACAAGTTCCTCACCCGCTACCATCCTCCATCCAAGACAGCTGACCTGCAGAAGCAAATTACACATTTTGCTCAGGATGAGGATGAGACCATCAGGGATGCATGGGAGAGGTACAACAGTCTTTTCCTCAGGTGTCCCAATCATGGTTTCAACGATGCGTTCAAGGTGGGCACCTTCTATCACGCCCTCTTCCCGGAGGACAAGCAGCTGATCGATTCGGTTTGTGGCGGGAACATGCTGACCAAAACCCCGCCACAGCTGAATCAACTCTTTGAAGAGATGGCGGAGAATGGTTATGATTGGGGCACTGCCAGGAGATCGAGGAGAGCACCAGGCCGGGGTGTGCATGCTGTGGGCACCCAGTCATCTGATTTGGTGCAGGTAGTATCGAAGCTGGTCTCAGCTATCGATCGTTCCGGGATGATTCCAGGGACCGGACAGCAGCAGGCGATGCTCTGCCAGTGGTGCGAGAGCACCCATCATATGGTGGAAGACTGCCAGGCGATGAAGGAATCGACCACGCCCCAGGAGCAGGTGAACTTCATCAACAATGTCAGGCGCAATGACCCCTACAGCAACACGTACAATGAGGGGTGGCGCCAGCATCCTAACTTCTCCTGGACTGGGCCAAATCCCAGACCACCAGCTCCACAGGGACCACCGGGCTTCCAGAGGCCACCATATCAGCCCAGACAGGGGCAATTCCAGCAGCCAGGTGCAGCCCCTGCTGCCCCAGTGCAGAATGATCAGATGGCTGAACTGCGGGACTTGGTGGGTTCTCTTGCCAGTGTTAGTGCTCAGAAATTCAACACCTTTGAGCAATTCATGGAGAAGGCCTCGGGTCAACTCCTGGCTCTGGAAGCTGGTCAGAGGAATACACGGGCTGTTTTGCAGGATATCCAGACCCAGCTGGGGAGCGTGGCCCAGGCAGTGGCTCAAAGGGCTCCTGGTACTCTACCAGGGCAGACCATCCCTCACCTGCCGACCCCGAATGAGCGCAGCAATGCCATCATGACCAGGAGTGGCAAGATGACTGTTGATCCCCCTGCTCGGGAACCGGAGAAAGAAAGCCCTGTCTTAGCGGCTCCAGCGGTTGAACAGGAAGTAGAGAAGGAAGTTGAGGTGCCTGCACCTAAACCGCAACCAGTAGTGAAGGAGTATGTCCCTAAACTCCCTTTCCCTACTCGGTTGCACAAAGACAGGCTGGAGGCAGAGTTCGAGAACTTCATCGCCATGCTTAAGAAGCTGAATGTCCAAGTGCCCTTCCTGGAGGCACTATCGCAAATGCCAAAGTATGCGAAGTTTCTGAAAAAGCTTCTCTCAAAGAAGCAGAAGCTGAGTGAGCTGGCCACGGTAGAGCTCAGCGAGGAATGCTCGGCTATTCTGCAAAACAAGCTTCCGCAGAAGAAGAAGGACCCAGGTAGTTTTACTATCCCGTGCTCTATTGATAAATTGCATGTAGAGAAGTCCTTGGCGGATTTAGGTGCTAGTATCAATGTTATTCCATATAAATTGTTCATGAAACTAGGCCTAGGTGAACCCCGTGCTACTAGGATGACCCTTCAATTAGCTGACAGATCTGTAGTGCATCCTAGGGGTATAGTGGAAGACCTTCTGGTTAAGGTTGGCAAATTCACATATCCCGTGGATTTTGTTATCTTGGACATCAGTGAGGACACAGAAGTGCCTCTTATACTGGGAAGGCCTTTCCTGGCCACCGCCAAGGCTCTCATAGATGTGCATGATGGGACCTTAGTTTTGAGGGATGGCGAGGAGCGAATAACGTTTTCTGTTGCTGATAATATACCTGCTTCGTCACCTCTGCATGCTGTATCTCACCAGGAGCACGAGTCTGTCGTGTATCCTTCTGTGCTGCCTATTTTGCAGGAACCGCCTCCCACACCTTCGCCGCCACTCCGGACCACTGTCACCCAAAGAACAGATCAAGGAGGAGTGGCGGCCGAAACTGCCGGCAGCTAAGCCTGCTCGAAAGGAAGCCGGAGACCACTATGAGCTGGTCCCGCCCCCTCCTTGGCCATCCGAGTATTCACTCGCTTGCATCCTACCGGATGGCCAAGTCGAGCTGGCAAATGCAGGTGGCCACATTCGTCGCGTGCATGGCCACCATTTGAAGTTGTACCTCAAGAGCGATGTGGATCCGCTCTTGAAGGCACCTGATCCTACACTTCCCTGAGCATCCATACTGACGTCCAGCTAAAAGACGGTAAAGAAGCGCTTGTGGGGAGGCAACCCCACCGAGGTTTGCATTTTCTTACTCTTTTTCCTTTGATTTTGTGTGTTTTTGAGTCTTGAGACGTTGATCCAGAGTTACGTGTCGTTTTTGAGCGAAAACAGGTTGATTTCGGGACTCCAACAAGTCGCACGGCCAGGACCACAACTTGCACGGCCGTGCGGGCACCCCCCTTGGTCGTGCGAGCTCTCGGCCAAAAGCGCACGGCCAAAAGCGCTTATTGCACGGCCGTGCGCTTGTCCTGGCCTGGCCGTGCGTCTTGCACGGGCACCATAATGCCTCGCATGGCCGTGCGGGTACTCCCCCTTGGCCGTGCGAGCTCTCGGTAAGGATGGCACGGCCATATGTGCCAGGTGCACGGTCGTGCGCTTCTCCTCGGCCAGGCCGTGTCGGCTGCACGGGCAAAAACCAGCCTTGCACGGCCGTGCGCCCATGCCCGTGCAGCCTAGGCACGGCCTATTTATATGGACTGCACGGCCATTGTGGTCAGAAAACCAAAACCACTCGCCGGAATCCTCTGCCCTCGCCAGAAAACCGCGCAAAACCCACCTTTTTTCGATTTTTTCGGCCACTTTGGGTAATTTTTTCACCAAACCAACTACAAACCCACTCTTTCTACACCCAAAGCGGCCTATCCCTCGATTTTGAGCGAGTTTGGGCGACGTTTTCGTCGCCGGAGGCGATTTCCGGCGAGACTCCGACAAGCATTTCCGGCCAGTTTTTCGGCGTTTCGTCACTTCCATTGTCTTCCCCTCATAATTCCCTACACCTCTACTTGAGTCTCCAGGTTTGATTTTGCCCCTAACTATGTTAATTGTGGAGAATTGAGTGTGTAGGGTGTATGTTAGAGAACCTTATTGAATCATGTGAATCTTATGAAATTGATTGAGGGGAATGCATGGGATGTGATTGAATTATGTTGGGCAAAGTCCCCTTTGATTGTTTAAGCCCTTGTGTGCAAGAATTTGGCCAATTTCATGTTTAACTTAGTAGTGCACACAAGGTGTTCGCTGAAATGCCTGTTTTCCATGCCCTGTTGTGGCCACCAGTTGGGGCCCTTAATGATGTAGTTTGAGGGTGTATTTGCTATGGATGTGAACCTTGAGTTGACTATTTTCTTGTGAATGTGCACCCCCACCCTGATTCTGCTTGATTTATCGAGATTTTGACCCCCGAACTATGGTTGAAACCATGGTTAGGCTGTTTTCTGTTCTTAAGTGTGGGGGTGCGCTTGACCTTTTTCTTTGGCTCTTTTGGGTTCCACTTTGGGTTGTTGTTTTGCAGGGCAATGGCGAAACCTAATTTCCAGCACCCGTTCATCCGGGATCTGAGGAGGGGACCCACCGCAGAGCGCTACAAGGAGGTCGCGGAAACCCCGTTTGGGTCACACCATTGCTGGTCCAAACGGGAGTTTCGGCGATTGCACTGCTACGAGCAGCTCTCCGCCGCGGTCGCCAACACCGCCTGGCGCCGTCTGCTCCAGCTCTGCGAGAAGGTCTACTACGAGCCGGTGTGGGAGTTCTACACGACCTTCAAGCACAATACCACGGACAACTGGCAGGACGGTACGGCCGTCCAATTCAGGCTGGGCGGGGTCCCCCGGTCCTTGAGCTACCACGAGCTGGCCGAGGCTCTCGACCTCGACCTCGACGACCGTGAGGACTAAGTCACCGAGGTGAATGAGCCACCGGAGGTGGACTTCGGGAGGCTGTACACCAGCCTGGCTCGGCCAGGCCAGACGCGTCCCTTCCGGTCCGGGAGGACGAAGGCCTCTACCCTGCAGATCGACAACCGACTTCTCCACCACCTGCTGGAGAAGTCTTACACTCCTGCAGCTGACAGCGCCGGCGCCATCACGAAGAGGCCCCTGTACTTCCTTCATTCGATCCGCCAGCGCCGCCATCCTCTCCACCTGGGTTCAGTGGTGGCCAAGACCTTCGAGAAGACGGCCACAGAGCTGAAGAGCCTCCACTGCGCCCCCCTCATCACCCGCCTGGCCACCTTCTTTGGCCTTTCACTGCAGGGGTGCACCGAGGAGGGGGACACCCTCATCTTTGGCAGCACGACGATTAGGAAGATGCTGCTGTTGCGGGAGAGGAACGGTGTTCAATGGGTCGATGGGTTTCCGGAGCCTCCGATCCCCGCGGAGCCCGTACCAGAGGAGGAGGAGGCTGCCGATGAGGTGGATCCCGAGGAGGTGGATGCTGCTGCTGATGCTGCTGATAATCCCCCACAGACTGACTTCCATTTCGGGGGTAGCAGCTCCAGTTTCCCGGGGCAGGATTACTTCACTTCCCAGTTCGAGCAGCTGCGTCTCCAGAACCAGCAGAACATCGACCATCAGCTGCAGTTCCAGCAGCAGTACGCGGCTCACCAGGCCGAGTACCACCAGAGGATGGCGAGTTACGACGAGAGATTGGACCAGCTCCAGACCCAGCAGGGTGTGACTCTCGCCCACATCGAGCGCGAGAGGCGCCGTTCACGGCGTATGCAGGAGGTCCAGCAGCATCTGCTCCAGCTGCTCCCGGGCGAGCCACCTGTCTGGAGGACTCCCTGGGATGACTCCCCTCCACATGACGGTGCTACTGGCGCTGCGGATGATGACGCGTTCATGAACGACATCGACCTGGATAACCTCGGCGACGAGTAGGCTGTACTTGTTGCCCGTCTCAGTGTGTTTCCTTTTTCATTTTAGACTTTTGTGTGTTTGCTCCATGTGTGCGGAGCTTGAACTTAGTGTCGTTTGTTTTTGTTTTTGGTTTTTCCTTTGTGGTTTGATGTAGCCGTCTGGGCTAACACTTATCCCTAACGCACAGTGTGCTAGTGTGTTTCTGATGTTCGATTTGTGCAGCATTGTCCACTCTCCCGTTCGTTTCTCGCTGACTGGTCCACTTCCAGTCCCCCAGCAGTGTTCCTACCCGGTAACATCGTTCCCCTTATCTTTCCCTCTGCTCCATTGAGGGCAATGTAGTTCTTAAGTGTGGGGGGATGCTTTGTATCGATTGGAATATTTATGATGGTGCTTGGAGCCTAGTCCACTGTCCGAATCTTACGATTTGAGGGCTCCAAGTACTGCTGTTTGATCATATTGGCACTGTGTTTTGATGGATGAATTGATTGGTTTTCGGATTAATGCATGACAACTTGTTTGCGACTAGGACAACCTATGATGAGGACTGAGATGTGCAGTAGAACGATGTAGGGGTTCAGTTTTTCAACTGTTTGCTTGCCAACTGTGACTTGATCTGACTTGATCTGATTACTTGTTCTTAACAGTCGTTTATGCATCTAGTTCAGGGTAGCAGAATATGAGATAGAGCATATAGGTAGCCATGTGAGATTTGAGCCTGCTCGTTTCTTTCTTGTGCGATAGATCCCTCTTCCATGATGTGTAGCATTCACGTTGTCACTAGCTGAGATGATGGGGGCATAGGATTAGCCCACGCCCAAAACTGACTGTCCTGATGTGTCATATCCCCTAGTCAGCCCCTTTGAGCCGTGTGTTATCCTTTCTTTTGGTCTATAATGAAAAGAAATCACCCTTGTTGCATCTTTTAGAAGGTTCCACAGAGTGGTTTTTATATATTCTCTGCTGTTTCTGCTAAAGTCTATGTGAGTGTTGGAGGTAGTGCTTAAAAGTTGGGCGGATGTTTGAAATATGTGCAGGAGTGGTGGCTCTCTTAAGAAATGAAAAGAAAAATGAAAGTGAAACAAAGAAAAAAAATTGAAAGTAAAAGAGAGCCACTACCAAAAATCTGAATAATGCCCCGTAAGTAGTGTTTCTTAGCAGTCTGGCTTGGAAATGCTGATGTTTATGCCTCCTTCGCTCTTGTGTTCTTAAGATATTGAGTAATGCAGAATAGCAGAAAGAAAATACCGGTTTGTTTGACTGTGATTGTGTGTTTGGAAAATGTGGAACCTTTTGCTATGAATACTTCCACCACCTAAAAGGCCTTTTCCCCATGTCCAAGACCCTAGCCAGTCATTTGAACCTGTGTCTAAGACCTCCTGATTAGTTAGTGGTGACACCCCATATGTGAACTCTAGCATTTAGAGGCTGCCATCATGGTGAAGAGATGATAGGGATTGAGAGAAATAGCATGCGCATCTTTCGCATCAAATTGTCCTGACCCCACTGGTCGAGAGTGAGTGATTCATTTTCATTTTCTATATGCTCTTGTACCCTGGTGAGGACCTAGATTGCTCGGTCTCTATTCTGATGTCTTGAGTTGGATGCATGAGTTGACTGTTTTGAGTAAGTGGTTGAATCAAGTCTAGGTTGGCCAGTGAACAGAAGGGAGACTCTTCCTTTACTCGATTTGCTGCACTCGAATGTCCTTTGTGGTGGTTGTCCAGGTTGTTGTTGAGGTTGTGCATGTATTGATGTTTGAAAACCAGTGCGATTCACGTGTTCTGTGCCTTTATGACTTGTCCCCAATGTTGGTTGATTGAAATGTGTAGGCTTACCTAGTGTCTGACTTGGTTTGCTTGGGGACAAGCAAACGGTTAAGTGTGGGGGAGTTTGATAGACCGTCATTTACACATGTTTTTACCCCCGTTCTTACACCGTTTGAGGTGTTGATTCTCGTGTTTTAGACCGATTTCACGCTAGGTTGTGCTTGTTTGTGATATTTCAGGTCCTAGTACGTGAATGAAGGCTTAGGAGCGAGTCTGGGGTCGATTGGACGAAGAACGGACGAATGGCGAGGTTTTTGGGGAGCTGCACGGGCAGACCAGGGAGGCTGCACGGCCGTGCACGGTTGCAAGCTGGCCGTGCGCCTCATGCCGAGGAGATGCACGGGCAGGCCCTGAAGATTGCACGGCCGTGCACCTGGCCGTGCAAGAAGCCTGAGTTCGACTTAAGGGATACGCTGCGTTTCATGGTGCACGGCCAGAATGGTGAGGTGCACGGCCGTGCACCCTGGCCGTGCAACTCGGGAAACCCGGTTTTAAAGCCTAATCCGAGCCAGAAGTGAAAAAACAGGGTTTTCAGAGCAAAAACAGAGCCCTAGAGAGAGAAAGTACGAAGAACACATCCTAGAAGCTGTCTTAGAGCTGGATTTCATCAAATCGAGCCTGGAGATCGTCATAGGAGTGAAAATCATCGTCCCGGAGTAGATTATCCTCATCGTTATGAGTATGACTAATCCGATTCTTGTTTTCTCTTCTCTCTCTATGGAGTAGAACCCTTCTCTCACTTGGGGATGAAGAACCCTAGTTCTATGTGTTAGGGGATTGATTGTAATGACTTGGGATGATATTACTGTTTGATTATAATCGAATGATGCATGTTTATTGAGTCAATTGAAGTCTGATCAACTTTTCCTGATTCCTGCTGCAATCTGAGATAGATAGAATCTGATTAGGTTGCTAGAGTCTCATCATTCGATAGTAGGAGACTGGTTATACGAGAGTTAGCCAGTTTACTGCTCTGTACTGGAATCTAATTCCAGTAGTGAATTTCTGTTCTTACTGCTTCAGCTTTCTATCCCGGTGAAGACTAGTCGTCTGCCGGGTAGTTAGACTGAGAGGGCTTGGTCAGCTTAAGAGATTCCAAGCTACTGCCGGATCTTCCGCAGTCTAATCAACAGTAAATCAACCCAGGGTAAATTGCAATTGAACCTAACTAAGGAGCTAGGGGGATTCATTCCCGAGTGACTCTTTCCTGCTTAAGAAAACCGAATAATTTCCTGCTTTATTTCTGCTTTTAGTTTAAACAACAATCACTTACTCTAGTTGGCTAGATAACAGAGAATCACTGAGTAAGCAGTAGATCTAGACCCCGGGTTGATAATATAACTTGCCTGTTACTGCATTCCCGGTCTGCGATTACACTTGGTCGCAGATTGGTGTTGTGTTTTGGCGTGTCAGATTTCCAGTCACGGCTCTGATACCACTTGTTATAAACGCGCTGCTACCGATCGGGAAACCGCTGGAATCGACAAAGCAAGAAAACGAAAGCGAGAATGGAAAACACAACACACAATTTACGTTGTTCACTAACACGATGTGTGTTAACTACGTCCACGGGCGAGAGAGAGCCAGTTTCACTATATCGAGGAGATTACAGATTACAAAGGAGTATGTGAAGTATTTATAGTACTTCTCCATGTGGGTCTAAACCTAATCCAATCTGGCAAAGGAGACGGTTGCCCCCGCACCCCCACATGGTCGTTGCCCCTGGACCCCACTTGCTGACCGGGCAGCGAGACCCCCGACTAATCCAATCGTAGCGGCTGATAGTCCGATTCAAGTCACATTAACACATCGAGATTCAACCCAAGATATATTGCTGGAGGGGAAGGAAAGGTGGTGCCTTTATTGTAATAACAACCTACATTACCGACCCACTTTCAGAGTGGGAAAGCAAAGGAACGCCCATTAACAACAGTGGTAATAGTAGTACAAAAGGGAAACCATGTAGCGGGAAACAACCTAATCACAGGTACAAAGAGCAGGCATATCATTCTCCAGGGAGGTTTCCGAAACCCCAAACTTCGAGGAGTTCCACAATTCCTTCGTTAGAGCCTAGAGGCATGATTAGATAAGAACAGCAGATGTGATTCTAGGCTTCTATCTATTGAATTCCTCCCTTGATACCAATTTGATAGCATCCAATGTGTTGGAATTTAGTCTCCACTAAGGTGAGCATCAACTACCGAAATGGTAAGTTGGCTCTCATCGAAGATCACACATGTCATATCTCACAGTCCCTCTGTAACAATGGCGCAATGATGAATATAGCCATCTACACCACTCACCACTCTTGTCCCTTTTATCATTGTTAATGTCAAAATCTGAAGGGGAATGGTAGGATCCGACGGCAGGAAACTGTTACCGGCGGTGACGTCAGCGATCTAAAGTGCTGTTTGGAGGAAATTTATTAACTAAGAAGTTCAAATCTCGAAACCTTCCCTAATTGCAAGTGCTTGGACAGATACGTTCCAGTCATTCATTTTAATTCTTCTAGCAATTACGTATATGTATCTTGATCCATTATATGATTTAATGAAAGTTTGCGGTAGATGACATTGTCGATTAGGACGATCAAATGATGGATTAGATAAATCACTTCCCTTACACAAAATTGCATTCATAATTATTAGGTTTGATAATGAATTTCTAGTCATATTATTGACAAACTAAGTATTAGAAATACTACATGTATTAAACTAAAAGCCCACATTTGAGAGAGAGATCACAAAAGTTTATGATCTAATACGACAACTAAACCATGCTCTCTTTGTCCTTATTTTGCAGGTGAAAAATCTTTCGCATCCCAATGAATTTTGAGCTATCAGTTTATGTCGGGTGGTCTATAAATTGACATCTAAGGTATTGGCCACCTGGCTTAAAATTATGCGTGATGAATTGTTCTCAAAGACACACATAACGCATGGCGGTTGATTATGGACAATTTGATTATGACCTTTGAATGTTTTCATTATACGAAAGAAGAAGAAGAAAGGAAAACAGGTTACTTGGCAGCAAAGTTAGATATGACTGAAACGTGCAGTAGAGTGAGAATGGAGCTTCCTCGAAAGGTTACATGCACTCGAGTATTCTTGTAGCATACCATACTCCGAGAGATCTGCTTGTTGGATATATTTCGTTGTACTTATTGACGAATCAGAATCGTTGATTATTATCATTTGTTAAATTAATTTTCAGTTTCAGGTCTAGAGAATCTGAGTCTCGGATTTATCCATTAAGGTATAATAACATATTAGAAATTCATATTGATGCATGATGTAGAAAGATAACATATCTCTAGAAATACAATGAGTATCAATACTCCAGAATTACAATGATATCCAAAGTTACTTTTTAGGCGTTAAACAGAGAAGGAAAAAAACACGATGGAATGAAAATGATCAACATACAAAGTACATCGAGATCACAAGTGACTGGAGGCCTGTTTTTGCTAATCATACTCCAAAACCATCGATTATCAGAATTCAGAACGGGTAAGTCTCGTACCTCATCGCGCACTCGTCGTTTCTAATATCAATCCCAAAGGAACGGACACAACACTGATCAATCACCACGGCGACGTCTTGAAGACATTGGTAGCAAGGGAAGAAATCGGCAGAGGTACAGTGGACCCAAGTGTAGAGTGCCACCTTTCCGCCGGAAGCATAAGCGATTACGCGATCCCGGTTGCCGGACTGATCCGCGTAACGACCGTCACCGAGAAAGGTTTTGAAATCATTCAGACAGTCCCGCAGTGCCGGGTTCTTACGCGGGTTGAACGTCGTTTCGTTCCATAGGTACTGGAAATCGCCTACGCCGGCGACAGCGTTGCCGATCGTTAACGCCACCCACAAGATGGCGACGATCAATCCGATGGATGCAATCTTCATCCTGCTTCCATCCACGTTCTGTATGAATGTGGAATTAATGTGCCTTATGCTCTGTGATGGCTTATATATGCTTAAGGCGCATATCATGGTGCCCATTTGTTATTCGATCAAAACGACGGGGTTTTTTTTGTCGTTTCTCAGAGGGCTTGACTATACAGACTAAAGCGTCGGGCCATAGAGATCGTGTAAGTAGAAAACGTTAATTAGGTGCTGAAGAACGAACAGAAGGAACAGAATGTGTCGGGAGACGATAATGTGGGGCTATTTAAATTTAATCTCGTGCACATTGCACAATGAACGTATAATATGTGGGGAATTTTTTGTGATTTTATGTCTGGCATTGTCGGTTGCCGGCCGGCGACACGGGCGGCAGCAATGGGGTGACCATTATCTGATGTATTACCCAACCCAGAAAAATACTAAACAATGAGAATGTGTATCACGTGTAATTAAGCTAAACAAACCTAGCTAGGCACTATTTGGGATCAAAGATTTTCAGAATTTTTCTTTTTAGGTCACACAAATATTTTTGCAAAAATTTACAATAGACCATTTAATACAATTAATTCAAGTTTTTTCCCCATAGATAGTGGTACAAATAGATAGAGAACAACAAGCAACCAAACCCGAGAGTCAATACTAATTGATGCGTCATGAAAGAGTCGTCATTTTAGTCATCTAATGAGCAGGTCTATTAGTCCCTAGACATACAGTGAAAAGAAAGACTAAAAGGAAGAAAACACCCTCCAATTCCAAAGTCTCTGCCAAGGAAGTCACCGAGAGTGTCGAGCAAGCATCCCTACAAACCAAAATAGAGAATGCGTGACTATGACTATAAATGCAATAAACCATTAAAAAGATACAAAGCTCATCAGCGGCCAGAAGGAACTTGCAAAACAAGAACACAAATAGACATTCTAGAGGGATTTTGTGGTAGCCGTTCGGATATCTGCACCAGCCAGGCAATACGATATGAGAAAGGAAAATTCTACCATGACATAACATTGATAGGCTCTATAACGAAGAGGGTCATCACTAGCATAGCACGATGACGGAGGTCATTATCGGACAATACACATGAAGCATAATTCGCGACCTACTCACTGAGAGGGGACCTAACTTTTTTTTTCCATGTATACTACCATTAATTCAAGTTATTGGAAGAGGTCATGTATAAATTTTATATTAGATTATTATACTCTTCTACTATATTAAAATATGAATGAAATATCAAAAGGAGAAGTGGAAAATCCGAAATTTAATAAAATTGTGTTTGGATAGATGTATTTTAAATACGTGTAGTTGAAATACATATAATTTAAATTCATTGTTTGAATATTCTTTTTTTTTTATTTTTTTTTATTTTTTAGTCACACAATACAAATATTATATAATTACACTAGCTTAGTCCCCGGCCCGTCGGCCGGGTTGGTTCGTTTCATCATTATTTTTGTTATACTTATAATGAAAAATATTTGTGTATATGTTTGAGATTATTCGGTTATTCATAAATATGTAATATCAATGTTGATTTATGTTTAAAAATCAAATTCGAATGTTTGGATTAATCCTCACCCAACACACAAATTATGTTGTGCAATATACACTACATATTTCTCAAACATAAGAAATGTTGTGCCCCTTGAAGGCACCTATGAATTTGTATACCTACTATATTCACCACTCATAAATTTTAAATATTTTATGACCATTCTGACATTTTGCATAGAATGAAATATAGCCCTTACCCATGAAAACCTTTTACTAATACCATAGTAGTTGGAACCCACTAAGTTTGGTCTACCTAGTTAAAAAAAAAAATTGGTCTATCTAGTTAAATAAATATAGTCTCAAATGCCGTGTCCACACAAAGCCACAAAATAAAAATAAAAACAACTTGATCATAGAAAAATTAAGCATTTGTCATCTGCAAAGTAAGACAGAAAGACAACTATATTATGTATATTGATACTTGAGTAAAGAGATCTTTCTGCTTGGATAAAAAATCTGAACAAAGATAACACAAAATTTCATAAATCTAAAACATACTATATTTATTCGTTTGAGCACATACCAATTTAAAATGATAATGTGATGGCGATAAGGCAAAATTAAGAAAAGAAAAGAAACACAACTGAAGTCTACATATGTCAAAATAAGCTACCCAGTCATCCATCTTTTGTGACCTGCAAAAGGAAGCATACAGAATAACAGAGAGATTGAAAAGCTTGCACCCAATGAGGTTGAAATCTCTAAATAGAGAAACAAAATCCATCAAATGGCCTAACTCCATTTCGTCGTGTTCTGTAATCCATCCATAGATTACCAGATGAATATGAGAGAGGCTCTTCTGGCTGCTTCTCTGTCGCTTTGTTACCCCAAAAGCAGCACTTGTCGTTGCCGCAATCACCATCTCCATCGTCATATTTTGTTTCCTCTGAATGAATCACAATTCCTTCCTCCTCGATCTTCACCCATTGACGCATCGTCGAGGTCGTCATATCTTAATTATTCTATGTAATCCATCATCGGATTACCGGATGAACATGAGTGAGGCCTTGCCGGCTGGCGGCTGCTCCTCTGTGGCTTTGTTACCGCCATTCGGGTGTTCCTCGCGTCGTTGCTAAACCACCAACCGCCGCCTTGATGGAAAATTATTTCAAACGCCTCCGCTGAAACCGCTCGCATGAAAATTGCAGGTTGTAGAAGTAACGTAAGAGTTATTGGGGTTTATGGAAATAAAGAAAGAACTGAGTTAGGGTCGAAGAAGAGAAAGAGAAGCGTTGCCGTTGATATTGGGATTTTCCAAAACAAAATAACGGCGGAGAGAGGGTTGCGGAAGGGAGAAAGGTTGGCTTACGTGGACACTCTCATGTTTCACCGAGGGGTACGTGGCATAGGGTAAAATCTAAAAGCCCTTTAATATTTTTAAATTTAAAGATATAAAGAATCTTAGTAATGAAATTTATTTTCTGAAAAATAAGTACGAAAACATTAATTTTTTGTACAAACGGGTGCATAAATTTTGGTGAAAAAATACAATCTAGTACCTTTGTAATTTTTTTTCGTTGAATGCCTTTGTATTTTTAACATTGCACTATAATGCATGAACTTTAAAAATTTACAAAAATATCTAATATGTTACCTTGAGGAATTGCAAATCGCTAAAGATTTTTTTTTTTGTCAAAAGATATCATATATTGATCATAAAAAAGAAGTTACATCCTGGAGACCAACCAGGCCTTGAAATCAAAAAAGCGACACATAGTCGGATACAAAGAGAGGGCTTTTCTAGCTACCACGTGAGCTACCCTATTGTTCTCCCGACCTATAAATCGCACATTAAACCCCGGCTGGGCACGCAAATAAAGACCAATTTCCTCCAGGATCGCACCCAACCGATTCTCCCTTGTGTCGCCTTGATTAATTTTATCAATAAGCACCTTGGCATCCCCCTCAAACCGGACCTCCGTGAATCCACATTCCAAACACCAAGTAATAGCCTCCCGAAGCATAAGCAACTCCACCATTGCAGGCGCATCCATAGTAGGAAACTGAACCCCCTTAGCTAGAAGTAGCACCCTCTCCGGAGTGAGAAGAACCATCCCACCAGCCGAATGCGATCCACTCTTAGTCGCTCCATCCCACCTACAAATCAACCGAGAATCCCCCACTGAAGCCTCGGGCTGGACCACCGGGTACGTCACTGTAGGCGCCCGATCTGTTGGCAAGGCCAACCATTCCTCATATTGCTGGTGGAATTGCCGCATAAGCGCCGGGATCCCAAACTGTTTGCCTTCAAAGACAACCCAATTACGAGACCGCCAGATCCGCCAAAGGACTGCAACAACCGCCATAACCAACGAGGGGTGATGGATTAACTCCAACAGACGCTTGAGAAATAAAGGGAAAGTATGGCGAGGCAAACCCTCTCCCAGATATTCCAGCCCTGAATAGTCCTAAAGAGCCCTCGCAACTGGACAATAAAGAAACAGATGTTTCATCGTCTCCGGGCCATCCCAACAGACTGGACACCGAGGCAACACATGGACCTTTTTCTCAATAAGCGCCTCTGTAGTAGGGAGAACCCGATTAAGAATTTGTCAGACAAAGACTTTCAGCTTCGGGGGAATCTTAGCTTCCCACACCCTGATCCAGCTTGTTTTATCCATCCAACTAACCGCAGACCTCCACCCACCCCTCCTCCTGTCCAAATCCACAGCCAAATGATAAGCGGACTTAACCGAAAAAACCCCATCTGCTGTGTTATGCCAAATAAGTTTGTCGGCAATATTCCGATGCGGAAGAGGAATAGCCTTAATGGCTTTGCAAGTAGGAGGGTCAAACCATTGACTCAACTTAGTATCAGACCACCGACCTTCCCCTTGACAAATAACCTCCGCCACCAAGGGATCACCCCCATCGGGAAGGACCAACGGATTATAGCACGGAGGGTCAAGCTGGTACCCAGGGATCCAGTTGGAATGGAGAAGAGAAGCCGAATGGCCATTGCCAACCTGCCATCTAAACCCCCTCTCCAATAACTGGCGCCCATACAGGATACTCTGCCACCCCCAAGAGGGGCGTGATCTTGCTGTTGCATTAAGAAAAGAACCAAGAGGAAAATATTTCCCTTTATAAACCTGGGCAAGGAGGCATTGAGGGTCATGAAGAATACGCAAGCCAATCTTAGCTAAAAGAGCTTGGTTAAAATGCTCAAACTGGCGAAATCCCATCCCCCCCTCATGCTTGCTCCTGCACATATTCCGCCAGGACACCCATCGGATCTTGGGCTGGCCCTCTTCAGCACCCCACCAGAACCTTGCCACAAGTTTATCAAGAAGCCGACAAAGAGACAGGGGGAGCCGGAAACATGACATCACATGTAAGGGAAGGGCCAACGCGATGGATTTAATCAGAGTTTCCTTCGCAGCCCAAGATAACGTTCGTTGTTTCCAACCTTGAAGCCGCTCTATTAGCTTCTCCTCTAGATATCTGAAGGTGGCCATTTTGGATCTGGCCACCAGCGAAGGGAGTCCCATGTATTTTTCATGGACCCCCACTGCACCAACCCCCTGAATCGTGGCCAAGAACTCCTGATCTGGCAGGGAAACATTCTTACTAAAGCACACTGCAGAGAACCTCGCAGGAATAAGTAGGAATCATCTGCGAAGAACAAATGAGAAATTCGTGGAGCCCGAGGAGCCACATTTACCCCTATTAATTTCTTCTCAGAAATCGCCTTCCTGAGGAGGGTCGCAAACCCTTTCGTGCAAAGCACAAACAGAAGGGGGGATAGCGGACCCCCTGGCGGAGACCCCTAGAGGCAGAGAAATACCTAGAGGGTGACCCATTCATCATAACCGAGAAAGAGGAGGACCGAAGACACTTGTGTATCCACCCTTGCCAGATCGAGTTAAAACCCATCTTATCCAAAAGCGCCAGAAGAAAGGGCCATTCGACTCTATCATAGGCCTTTTCCATGTCAACCTTCATAGCCATGTACCCCTTCTTCCCTTGCTTCTTAATTTTAAGATAATGCATTAACTCATGTCCAATAAGGATGTTATCAAAATCTGTCGGTCTCGAATAAACGCATTCTGACCCTCCGAGACAATTTGAGGGAGCAGACCAGCAAGACGTTCAGCCATAATCTTGGTAATAACTTTATAAACAAATTAACAAAGACTGATCGGGCGTAACTGTCTGATATTTTCCACAGAATCAACTTTAGGAATCAGGGTTAGCCACGTATGGTTAAAGCTTCGCAGCATCCTACTCGATGAAAAGAACGAAATAACTGCTTCAACCACCAAGTTTCCCACAACATCCCAAAACGCTTTGAAAAACTTCCCTGTGAAGCCATCAAAGCATGGGGCTTGCTTCGATCCCATCGCAAAGACCGTCTTCCAAACCTCAATAGGCAAAACCTCCGTTGTCAACTGCGCATTCATTTGCGGAGTAACACTATGGGCAATCGGAAGACCAGTCACCCTATCGGCCATATTTTGAACCTGCGTCTCTGAGGTGAACAGGGATTGGTAGAAATTGGTAGCAATGGCAGCTTTCCCATTTTCCTCCGTGATCCACTCACCATCATCATTCCGGAGCCCAGAGACAAAATTCTTTTTACACCGAACTCGAGTAAGCGTGTGGAAATAGGCAGAATTCTGATCACCTTTCTTTAACAATCGAACCCTGGATTTCTGCTGCCAATAGATCTCTTCTGCTTCCTATTGGCGAGACAACTCAGATTCCAGGGTCCTGACCATATCCCAATCCACCGGGTGGATCGATTTAATTCGATCAATCTCAGCCTGAAGCGTCTTAATATTACGAAGAGAATTTGTAGTGCCCGCCCTACTCCAATCATACAGCAAATGCCGAAGCTTCTTAAGGCGTTCCCAAAGCCGGAACATAGGAGTACCCTGAATCTCCTCTTTCCACACATAGTGTACCATAGCCCGAACTTCCGGGTTATCTGCCCAACGGGCATCAAATCGGAAGAGAGGCCAACCAGTCCTACTATAAGGTTTATCCGAGAGGAGTAGGGCACGATGATCCGATCCCTGGTCCGTAAAGTGCTTCACCAAAGTCTCCGGGAGAGCGTCTATCCAGGCTTGTGAGCAAAGCGCCCTATCAAGGCGTTCACGAATACAAGCTGAGCCCATACGCTTATTCGTCCAAGTGAATTGATCCCCTTGGAACCCCGGGTCGTGGAGCCCCAAATCATGAACGAACTCGCGAAGGCTAACAGCCTGAGCAGCATTCCACTCGCTACCCCCATCTTTTTCACTCTCGTGGAGAGTAGTATTGAAATCACCAATGATCACATAAGGGAGGGAAATATTTCCCAAACTTCGCGCAGGTGAGCCAGTTGAAGAGCACGAACATCAAGGTTACAACTAATGTAAACAAAGAACACCACATAAGAAAATCCTTCTTCATTAACTTGCAAACAAATAAAGAAACTAGAATGAAACAACACCAAAGTGTCAACTCCAGGGGACCAAGCCACTACTAAACCACCTGATGCATCGACTGCATCTACAAAGAAACAATGGGAACTAGCAAAACCTAACCCCCTCATACGACGGGACACTACACGACGGCTCGATCGCGTCTCCGAGAAGAACACGAGATCCGGTTTATTAGAGTAAACAAGACCGACAGCAGATTGGAAAGTGAGGGATGGCCCAATTCCTCTCACATTCCAGGCGAGAAGCCTCATTTATCCGACTGGGGCCATTTATGGCTGGCTTCCTCCACCTGATTCAAATTCCCATCATCTTCCACAAATTGTTTCTTTGGCATGGGATCATCTCCCAACTCTCCTTCCCTTGCATCCAATGGCCGTTTGCGCGTCCCAATAGTTGGATTCATAAGGTTCTACCCGTACTCATCCAACTACGGGTGACCGTCGTGGACCTCCTACTGGTTACTCCGTCCTGGATCAAATGCCACCTCCTGCGTCTGCGGGATAGGCTCCGGATCACCAGCAATGGCCAGCCCAGCTTCGAAGGCCGCGACAACCTGGCTCACATGCCCCCTGGGTGTAGCTACACTTCGTACCTTAGGCTTAGAAGAAGGAGGCCGCCTTTTGATTTCAAAACATAGAGCCTCTTCCTCCGACTCAGATTCTGCCAAAACCAGGGCCCGAATTTTTTTTTAATGGGGATAGCAATTCGGGCCGGCCCACAGGACGCACCAGCCCGATCCAGCCCCATCTCCCCATCTGGTCCACACATAGGAGAGGACAAATCTTTCTTCTGAGGCCTGGCTTTTCTCAGCCGACCCTTCGTCCCTGTACTGGCTGCAGTAACCCTCGAGCGGGATGACCCATCCCCCAAATTCAGGGCCCGGCCCACCTTGCCCTGGCCCAACACTTCCGAACGCGTGGCCCCGGGCAGTTTACCTCGGCCCGCCGCAGCAGCAGGCTCGGCCTCAAGCATGCCGTCTTCACGGCCTTCTCCAACTTGAGCAGACCCTAGTTTCTCTTTCCCAGGCTCCTCAGCGACCGGCGGCCGATCGATCTCCAAAACATCATCATCAGGATCCGCCTCCAAGATGAGGCGTCGGCGCCAAGAAAGAACATATGTATTCAAAGTCACAAATAATATACTAAATATGTATTTGAAATTCACTCATGCATTTGCTACAAATTTAAATCTCGTATTTTGTATTTGAAATTTCGAATCCCAAGTGGGGTCGGATACTATGCTAACCCCTAAAGGGGTAGTGATTTTCGACACCCTCCTTTTGATTGGTCAGTTTTATACTTAATTATTATATAAGTATTAATGGTTGTCCCAGACAAATATGGATGGGGAAAGGATTAACAAGCACATATTAATTATGCACGGGAATGGGGCAATTTAGCTGGATCCCTGGATGGAAATTGTGGCGTTTCTACTCCCTTTCCCTTTGTTTCTATTTCCCCCCCTCCCTCCTCTGCTATTTCCCCTTGTTTCTTTCCATTGCCGTGGAGAACCATAGCTCTGGTTCATCAATACATGGCTGGCGGGATCCATCAGTTCAAAAAATGGATGATTACATCGTCCAGTTGGATGGCGGAGGTCACTGTGTACACAAGTCTGCCGGCAAACGTTCCCTCAAATTTGACCTCAACATAGAGTATACCGGCAACGACGACGATCTCTTAAAACTTGGGCAATCCAGCTACGACTCTTACCAACATCCTGAAGATCTGGATGATCCGGCCTCCGTGGAGCATGCGCCTGATATCGTCGTTGCGAATGTCGAGCCCGTTGGAGTCGTGGAGGAACAATAAAATTGTCTCAATAAAAATATATACTTATGTGGATCTCGACTTTTCAATTCAATAAGTACCACTGTAGTGGTATTTTTCATCATTGAAGTGATAGTGCAATAAGTACCACTGTAGTGGTATTTTTCATCAATGGTATTCTTTTACAATTTATTGTACAATTCCAAACAGCTCTTCTGATACAATTTTGTTATAAACTCAGGTGTGGTTGGCACCGTGGTCCCAGAAGACGAGTCAACATGGAAGCATTTGCGTTTTGAGGACAAGGATGAATTTATTAGGTTCTACAAGAATTTTGCTCATGGAAGAGGCTTCTCAGTTAGAAAGACTGGTGCAATTTACAAGAGAAGATCATACTTTCCACATCCATTTATATTTTACTTTGGAGGGAGGTGCAGCAAAGGGGGCTACAAAGAAGGCAGCATATTGGATCCTAAAAATAAAGAAGATGTCGTGGATTATGACAGTGATAATGAAAGGGATAGGGGTGAGGCTCGTATTGGTTGCAAAGCAATTGCAATGTGCAGGTATGAGCACAGCACCAGAAATTAAAGAATTTATAAATGGACGGATGTCCACGACCATGAGTTACATGATGAGGCCTCACGACGATTCTTACGCTCGAATCGGGAAGTAACTGCTGAATATGCTTTTTTGCAAAAATAAATGATGCTGCTGGGATTCCGGCTTCGAATACTTTTGATTCATTTGCTGCTGCGGCAGGAGGTAAGGAAAATTTGCCTTTTATTCAAACGGACTTGAAGAACTATATCCAAAAGACAAGGAAAAAGCCTTTCACCCGGGGCGAGGCTAACATGTTTCATCAGTATTTCAAGAGCAAGGCTAAATGTGACCCGTCCTATTTCAGCGAGATGCAAGTTGATGAGAAAGATGAGATTTCAACCATTTTTTTCGCTGACGGTAAAATGAGGTTTGATTACGAGTGTTTTGGGGATGCAAGCAGTTTTGACACGACGTATCGTACCAACAATGGATGCAGACCATTAGGTACGTTAATCAGTGTTACCAACTATCAAAGTACTGATACATTTCATTGTTTTGGTAGTTGTCATCTGATATTTGTGATACATGTCCATTGTTACAGCTTTATTTGTCGGCTTTAATAATCACAGAGAGCTGTGCATTTTTGGTGTGGGCCTGATGTGCGAGGAAACAGCAGAAAAATTCTCATGGCTTTTCCAACAATTCCTTAAGTGTATGTCTGATAAGCAACCGGTTTCTATATTCACCGACCAGGCCAAAGCAATAGCGGTAGCAATAAAGAAACATTTCTGTGATTCATTCCATGGTCTTTGCACCTGGCATATTCATCAAAATGGGATGGTTCAACTTACCCCTGCACTTTACAACTCTGGAGTAAGGCAAGAGATTCAAATCTTGATGTATAACGTTGACACGGAGGATGAGTTCGATCATGTATGGACCAGAAATGATCGAAACTTTTTTCAAGGGAAAGGTCCAGACGGACATCGCTGGTTAGCGAAGCTACGTAAACACAGGTTTGTTTGTCCTTTTTTAATTGTTTTGTTTTCATTGGGTTATCATATAAGTACCACTCCAGTGATACTTTGTAGTGTTGTATCATGCTGACTATAAATGTACCACTCCAGTGATACAATGGACATGTATCTCATTCCATTTGTTCATTGGGTTATCATATAAGTACCACTTCAGTGATACTTTGTAGTGTTGTATCATATAAGTACCACTCCAGTGATACAATGGACATGTATCTCATTCCATTTGTTCATTGGGTTATCATATAAGTACCACTCCAGTGATACTTTGTAGTTTCTACCACTAACTGTATACTTTGTACCATATTTCACCATTGCAGGCACAAATGGTCTAGGCTGGGTCTGCGAGAGCATAGAACAAATGGAATGAGAAGCTCCCAACTCAGTGAATCATGCAACAGCAACCTACGGAAGTATCTAAAGTCAGACCACAACTACTCCCAATTTTTTGAGCAGTTCGACAGAATGCTTGAAAAGAAAAGAGAAAACGAAAAAGCAAGGGATTACCAGTTGGTCAATGAAGCACCTCCTGTGCGTTACTCAAAATGCCCATTTACCGACCAGGTAAAAAATTTGTACACATATAAAGTACTCAAAGAATTCCTGAATGAGTACGGGAAAAGTCTCTCATATTTGCTTTGTCCAAATGTTGCAAAAGACGAGGAGGGATGGATTGCATTTGACGTGTACACATTTGAAGGTGCTGGCTTCAATAAGACTGACGAGAGGACGGTCCACGTCAAAATTGAAGAGCGGAAATTTAGATGTAGTTGCCACCATTTTGAAACATGGGGCTGGTTGTGTAAGCACATATTAAAAATAATGGACCACTTACGATCGCGACCGGAGACACAAGAACTGAAGGAGATCAACAAGGATTATATATTGAAAAGATGGACTAGGCATGCAAGGGAAGACATAGTGATAAGTCGTTAATTGCACATGTTTTACCCCTATTCTGGAGCCGTTTGAGGCGTTGATTCTCGTGTTTTAGGCCGATTTCACGCTAGGTTGTGTTTGTCTGTGATATTTCAGGTCCTAGCAAGTGAATGAAGGTTTAGGAGCGAGTTCGGGTTCGATTGGACGAAGATCGGGCGCGAGGCAAGTCACAAAGGAAGCCACACGGGCACACTCACAACTCACACGGCCGTGCAAGTGACCAATTTGGCCGTGTGGGATTGTGCGAGACTTCACACGGGCACAGATAATTCCCACACGCCCGTGTGAAGTTGCAATTTGGCCGTGTGGAATTCTGCGAGGCTTCACACCGCCAGGCTGGGTGAGCTACACGGCTGTGTGATCCTGGCCGTGTAGGAAGCCTGAAACCCAATTACTAGGAACGCGGCGTTTTGACCTCACACGGGCAACTGGGTGTGCCACACGGCTGTGTGGCCTGCCCGTGTGAGTCGGGAATTTCTGGTTTTTACCCAATTTCGGGCTGCAAGTGAGAGAATGGGATTTTCAGAGCAAAACTAGAGCCCTAGAGAGAGAAAGTACGAAGAACACATCCTAGAAGCTATCTTGGAGCTGGGTTTCATCAAATCGAGCTTGGAGATCGTCATAAGAGTGGAAATCATCATCCCAGAGCAGATTCTTCTCATTGTTATGAGTATGACTGCTCTGTATTCTGTTTTCCCCTCTCTCTCTATGGAGTAGAACCCTTCTCTCACTTGAGTATGAAGAACCCTAGTTCCATGTGTTAGGGATTCGATTGTAATGACTTGGGATGATATTACTGCTTGGTTTTAATCGAATGATGCATGTTTATTGAGTCAATTGAAGTCTGATCAGCTTTTCCTGATTTCTGCTGCAACCTGAGATAGATAGAATCTTATTAGGTTGTTAGAGCCTCATCATTCGGTAGTAGGAGATTGGCTATACGAGAGTTAGCCAGTTTACTGCTTTGTACTGGAATCCAATTCCAGTAGTGGAGTTCTGTGCTTATTGCTTCAGCTTTCTATCCCGGTGAAGACTAGTCGTCTGCCGGGTAGTTAGACTGAGAGGGCTTGGTCAGCTTAAGAGATTCCAAGCTACTGTCGGATCTTCTGCAGTCTAATCAACAGTAAATCAACCCAGGGAAAATACAATTGAAACCTAACTAAGGAGCTAGGGGGTCTCATTCCCGAGTGACTCTTCTTTGCTTGAGAAAACCGTACCAATTCCTGCTTTCTTTCTGCTTTTGCTTTAAACAACAATCACTTAACTTAGTTGGCTAGATAATAGATACTCACGGAGTAAGCAGTAGATCTAGACCCCGGGTTGATAATAGAACTTGCCACTTTACTGCATTCCCGGACTGCGATTACACTTGGTCGCAGTTTGGTGTTGTGTTTTGGCGTGTCAAGTTTTTGGCGTGCCGGGGACCTCTAGGTTATTGGGGAAACGTGAAATCTGTTACTCTAGCTTCTTATTTACTGCATTTTCTCTCTTCCACTTGTGTGCCTTCACGGGTTACTTCTGCTGATTGTGTGCAGGTAGTGCATGACCCGTAGCCAGTCGAGAGATCTACTACCACTAGACCAGGAGCTTGAACAAACCTGTAGAAACTTCAAGCGGGCTCTAAAGGCACGACTGGGTGCGGAGGAGGAGCTAGCACAGCTGCAGATCGCTGAAGAAGAAGAGATGGGGGATCCACAGGACCATGATGTGGTCCTTCCCGAGGAGCAGACCATGGGACATTACTGGACCGCCAGGGCTGCAGACATGAGGTCACCCATTCAACACCCTCATGTCCCAGCCAATAATTTTGAGGTGAGCACCTCAGTAATCACCATGCTGCGCGGTTCAGTGGTGTTCCGAGGCAAAGAAGGGGAGTGCCCTCGTTCACATCTCAGGCGATTCCACGAGCTCATCGATGGAATCAAGATCAATGGGGTCCCAGCAGATGCCATCCAGTTGAGGTACTTCCCATTCACCCTGGAGGGTAGGCCAAGGAGTGGCTAGACACTCGACCTCCGGGCTCTATCACCACGTTCGCCAACCTGGCGGACAAGTTCCTCACCCGCTACCATCCTCCATCCAAGACGGCAGACCTGCAGAAGCAAATTACCCATTTTGCTCAGGACGAGGATGAGACCATCAGGGATGCTTGGGAGAGATACAACAGTCTCTTCCTGAGGTGTCCCAATCATGGTTTCAATGATGCTTTCAAGGTGGGAACCTTTTATCACGCCCTCTTCCCAGAAGACAAGCAGCTGATTGACTCAGTTTGTGGCGGAAACATGCTGACCAAAACACCGCCACAGCTGAATCAACTCTTTGAGGAGATGGCAGAGAACGGGTATGATTGGGGCACTGCTAGGAGGTCGAGGAGAGCACCAAGCCGAGGCGTACATTCTGTGGGAAACCATTCCTCTGATTTGGTGCAGGTGGTGTCGAAGCTAGTTTCAGCTATTGATCGTTCCGGGATGATTCCAGGGACTGGACAGCAGCAGGCGATGCTCTGCCATTGGTGCGAGAGCACCCATCACACGGTGGAAGACTGCCAGGCGATGAAGGAATCGAACACACCCCAGGAGCAGGTGAACTTCATCAATAATGTTAGGCGCAACGACCCCTACAGCAACACTTACAACGAGGGGTGGCGCCAGCATCCCAACTTCTCCTGGGGTGGGGCAAATTCCAGACCACCAGTTCCCCAGGGACCACCTGGCTTCCAGAGGCCGCCATATCAGCCCAGACAGGGGCAATTCCAGCAGCAGCAGCAGTCTCTCTACCAGCCCATGCAGGGGCATGTTGCTCAATCACAGCCGCGACCTTTCCAGCAGCCAGGTGCAGCCCCTGCCACCCCAGTGCAGAATGATCCGATGGCTGAATTGCTGGACTTGGTAGGTTCTCTCGCCAGTTTTAGTGCTCAGAAATTCAACACTATAGAACAGTTCATGGAAAAGGCCTCGGGTAAGTTCCTGGCTCTTGAAGCTGGCCAGAGGAACACACAGGCTGTCTTGCAGGATATCCAAACCCAGCTGGGGAGCGTGGCTCAAGTAGTGGCACAAAGGGCTCCTAGTACTCTACCCGGTCAGACCATCCCTCATCCTCAGAACCCGAATGAGCACTGCAATGCCATCATAACCAGGAGTGGCAAGATGACTGTTGATCCACCTGTTCGGGCACAAGAGAGAGAGGCCCCTGCATCGGCATCTCCAGCGGCTGAAGAAGAAGCAGAGAAGGAGGTTGAGGTGCCTGCGCCTCAACCGAAACCAGTAGTGAAGGAGTATATCCCTCAACTCCCCTTCCCTACTCGGTTGCACAAAGACAGGCTGGAGGCAGAGTTCGGGAACTTCATGGCCATGCTTAGGAAGCTAAATGTCCAAGTACCTTTCCTGGAGGCATTATCTCAAATGCCTAAGTATGCGAAGTTCCTGAAGGATCTTCTCTCAAAGAAGCAGAAGCTGAGCGAGCTGGCCACTGTGGAGCTCAGCGAGGAGTGCTCGGCTATTCTGCAGAACAAGCTTCCGCAGAAGCAGAAGGACCCAGGTAGTTTTACTATCCCGTGCTCTATAGATGATTTGCATGTAGAGAGGTCCTTGGCGGATTTAGGTGCTCGTATCAATGTTATGCCGTATAAACTGTTCAAGAAACTAGGCCTAGGTGAACCCCGTGCTACTAGGATGAGCCTTCAATTAGCTGACCGATCTGTCGTGCATCCTAGGGGCATAGTGGAAGACCTTCTGGTTAAGGTTGGCAAATTCAATTATCCTGTGGATTTTGTTGTCTTGGACATCAATGAGGACACAGAAGTGCCTCTTATACTGGGAAGGCCTTTCCTGGCCACAGCCAAGGCTCTCATAGATGTGCATGATGGGACCTTAGTTTTGAGGGATGGCGAGGAGAGAATAACGTTTTCAATTGCTAATACTCTTCCTGCTTCTTCGCCTTTGCATGCTGTTTCTCACCGGGAGCACGAGTTTGTCGTGTATCCTTCTCTTTCTCCCATTTTGCAGGATCTGCCTCCCATACCATCGCCGCCACTCCCGTCCACCTCGTCACCGAAAGAACAGATCAAGGAGGAGTGGCGGCCGAAACTGCAGGCAGCTAAGCCTGCTCGAAAGAAAGCCGGAGACCACTACGAGCTGGTCCCGCCCCCACCTTGGCCATCCGAGTATTCACTCGCTTGCATCCTGCCGGATGGCCAAGTCGAGTTGGCGAATGCTGGTGGCCACATTCGTCGTGTGTATGGCCACCATTTGAAGCTGTACCTCAAGAGCGAGGTGGATCCGCTCTTGAAGGCACCTGCTGCTTCACCTCATTGAGCATCCACCGACTGGCGTCCAGCTAAAAGACGGTAAAGAAGCGCTTGTGGGGAGGCAACCCCACCTAGGTTTGCATTTTCTTACCTTCTTCCTTTTTATTTTTTGTGTTTTTTAGTCTTGAGGG